AACGAGGAGATTTCAAGCCTACAGATCTGGAAAGGTAAATTGCTTTAAGTAAATTATAAAAAAAATATAAAAATAAAATTTACATACTGTAATTTGTGAACATTATAACAATTAGAGTAATTATATTCCATTCATTAGCACTGAATGGCACATATTATTTAGCAACTTATTGCATAACCTGTAATAAACATTATTTTATAGCTTAAATAATATATGCATATCTCATTTTACAGTGACAAGAGTGACATAGAGAGCCAGAAAGGAAATAATGGTAGGCAACAGTACTCTGCATGTGGGTCAAGTGGTGGTAGGAGTGGGGGTAAGACTCCAGTAGTAGCTGGTTCTCTCGCCTCCATCCCTCCTGACGCACTTTATTCATCAGCCCCCAAACATACTAGTGTGTCCACACTATCCTCTAAACCTGACCATGAGTATGAGAACTTGAAGGTGAGACCAGAGTATGCCATGAGCAGAAGAGGACATTTGAAAAGCCAGTGATGGCATTAAGAGTTGTACGAAAATTGGAAGTGGATTTATTTTTGTCTAGATACTGCAGTGACAGATATATACTGTAATATATAATCTAACTGTAAGTATCTAAAACTATTTTTCAGGGTTGTGATTTTTTCTTTAGACAAAATTGGAGTTCATGAACACATCAGTTTTCTATGCCATTACCTTTAAATAAAACTGGCAAATTAAAAATCTTTTTACTTTTTAGTTCAAATTTATTAACTAAAGAAAACGCTTCCATATTCATACACCATCTTTGCCTTACATAGCTTTGTCCAGCTCTGCAGCTCTCATTGTCAGTGCTTCATATCCCGAGGCATCATCTTCAGTTGACCTGGGATGCACAGTCAGCAGCTCACATCACCAGGTCATTTCTCGATGACCAACTGTATATACATCAGTATCAGACAGCACTGCACAGCCTTAGATATATTTCTCTTCCCTTTTCATCCATTGTAATATTTTTTTATAAATCACCAATAGTTTTGAATATTTTCAGTAAAATCTAATGCTTGTAGTATACAGTATCATTATATTTAAAAGTACAATACAGGCATACCTCACTAGTATAGCACTTCACTTCAAAGCACTTTGCTAATACTTAGCTTTTCAGTTATACGCATTCATGTCTATTATTTTTGGCGGTGACACATGCATCAACTGACTGGTGACAATTTTTTATTTATTATTTTTACTTTTGCATGTTCTTTACAGGCCTAGCACTATTTTGTACTTAATGACAACATACACATGTTTTTAGGCTTTCTTATGCATTGGCAAGTGAAAAAAGGCTGAGTCACTTTAAGACAATATTCACTTTACAGCAGTGGTCTGGAATCTAACCCGCCACATTAGTGAGGCATGCCTGTATTGTATATTATAAAATTATTTACACATAAGCATTACTCTTGTGTTTTCACTTTCAACATTAATGAGTGATAACTTTGAGTGAGTTAGAATCCTATTGAAATATTAAGTTTAAAAATTATGCAGTTTATTAAATTTGGGTGGATGTAAATGACTAGTTAGAGCATTGTTTATCAAATTATACTGCCACACAGAATTTGTCATTTTATAATTACTGAATAATAATGACACTGTGCTCTTGGGAGATTCTGAAGAGAAGTTGTAGAGGTTGGTGGATGAATTTGGTAGGGTATGTAAAAGAAGAAAATTAAAAGTGAATACAGGAAAGAGTAAGGTTATGAGGATAACAAAAAGATTAGGTGATGAAAGATTGGATATCAGATTGGAGGGAAAGAGTATGGAGGAGGTGAATGTATCCAGATATTTGGGAGTGGACGTGTCAGCGGATGGGTCTGTGAACGATAAGGTGAACCATAGAATTGATGAAGGGAAAAGGGTGAGTGGTGCACTTAAGAGTCTGTGGAGACAAAGAACTTTGTCCTTGGAGGCAAAGAAGGGAATGTATGAGAGTATAGTTTTACCAATGCTCTTATATGGGTGTGAAGCATGGGTGATGAATGTTGCAGCGAGGAGAAGGGTGGAGGCAGTGGAGATGTCATGTCTGAGGGCAATGTGTGGTGTGAATATAATGCAGAAAATTCATAGTTTGGAAGTTAGGAGGAGGTGCAGGATTGCCAAAACTGTTGTCCAGAGGGCTGAGGAAGGGTTGTTGAGGTGGTTTGGACATGTAGAGAGAATGGAGCGAAACAGAATGACTTAAAGAGTATATCAGTCTGTAGTGGAAGGAAGGCGGGGTAGGGGTCGGCCTAGGAAAGGTTGGTTGGAGGGGGTAAAGGAGGTTTTGTGTGCAAGGGGCTTGGACTTCCAGCAGGCATGCGTGAGCGTGTTTGATAGGAGTGAATGGAGACAAATGGTTTTTAACCCTTTGACTGTCGCAGGCCCCTTTCTGAAACTGTCATTCTATGTCGCAAAAGTTTTGGAAAAAAAAATTATTTTTTCTTATGAAATGATAGAGAATCTTTTCCCGATGGTAATGACACCAAAAGTACTAAATTTGGTCAAAAACTCATGGAATTACGCTCCCACGAAGTTAGTGGTCTTGGCGACATATACGCATCGGCAATTTTGCCAACTTTGAGCCCTGTTTTTGGCCAATTCTGTTGTTTCAGTTGACCAAACTCATAGCTATGTCTTTAGAACTCCATTTTTTCTATCAGTTGAGTACAAGAAACTGCCCATTTACCGATTTGAACTACCCAATAAAGTGGTCAGAAATTGGCAATTTGGCCAATTTCATGCAAATTAAAAAAGATGCTAATTTCAATATAGGGTCCAGAATATACAATGTAGACATTCTTGGCACTAAAATAACATACCCTCTGTTCATTAGTCATGTCTCTAGGCCCCTCTTATATTACTATTGCTTCCTATTTTGATTTTTTATTCATACAAAAAAATATAAAATTTACTGTTATGCAGACTAATGCATTATTGTAAAAATGGTATAAATAATATCAGTGCACTAGTGAAAGAATATCAGACTCCCCAGTTGACGTGTATTGGATGTGTGGTGTAATTTGCTTACTCCTGAACATTGGTAAAAATCGAACATTTCTGCTACTTTGAGCTCAATTTCAAGGTCATTTTCATTGTGAAAGTAATGAAAATTATCTCTATTTCTGTAATATGTTTTCCATTTTATTACCTGAGACCATGAAAACGAGAATACAACTCATAATACCATACGAAAATACACCTCAAATCAGCATTTTCATCCAAAAAAACGGTCAGATTTTTTTTTTCTCATTACACACTGCGTGCTGCAGGATTTTTTTTATGTGGTGCACACTGACCACACAGACCCATTCTCTCACATGTGGGCCTACCAGCTTTCTCCTGCTTGATCTGAAGACGCTAGAATTTAGGCGTATAAATACATGTACGTCAGAAACAGTGGCACGTAAGACGTATATATATGACGTAAACAGTCAAAGGGTTAATACTTGATGTGCTGTTGGAGTGTGAGCAAAGTAACATTTATGAAGGGATTCAGGGAAACCGGCAGGCCGGACCTGAGTCCTGGAGATGGGAAGTACAGTGCCTGCACTCTGAAGGAGGGGTGTTAATGTTGCAGTTTAAAAACTGTAGTGTAAAGCACCCTTCTGGCAAGAAAGTGATGGAGTGAATGATGGTGAAAGTTTTGCTTTTTCGGGCCACCCTGCATTGGTGGGAATCAGCAAGTGTGCTAATAAAATAAAATATGTTCATAAAGCACTTCACCTAAATTTTTTAACACATTTTGTCATTAGTGAACAGTGTACCTGTACACTAGTGCTGAATAAATACAGTTGCATTTTTTTTTTTTTTTTGCATTATGCCTTATTTTAGTTATTAGAGTAACGTTTCTCTGTAAATAATTAGCTCTTGCTTCATTGTGACATTTTGTATAATTTTTGAGAATTGAATTTAAATGATATGTAAGAGTAAAAATATTTTCCCTGAAATTTTAAGATAAGAAATATAAGAACATTTAAAAAAATGACAAACAGGAAGCCAGATTACAGGTTTTTACATTTATATAGTGTTTTGTAAAGTGATAGAGAAAATTCTAAAAATGGCACTACTTTTTTTTAACGTGCCTCCTATCTCCCATTAACCCTTAACCCATTAACAGTCCAAACGTACATCTACATTCACTCGCCCAGTGCTCTGAATATTTTGAAAAAAAAATCTTTTTTTTTTTTTTAGTTAAAGAGGGCAATTTTCTGTGAGTAATAAGACCAAAAAAAAAAAATATTTCAGGACCAGTACTTACCGAGATATAAGACTGCGAAGTTGGTACTGGTTGCTTACCTGACAGCAATTATATGCATTTTATTGCTCTGGGATGCTTAAATGTAATAGAATATTATGTGTAGGTGGGGTGCCCTGGTATGGTAGCCCAGCTGACTACCATACATACCACACTTGATTTCTTACAATAAATACTACTTGTCTCACCCTAGATTAAAACTATAAATATTTTAAGGTAAGTAATGAGTGCACTGTGTGTGTATTGTACTTTTTTATTGTTTTTCGATGCCTAGTTCTATTGCTAACTTAATATATATTAGTGTAAACTTGTTATCTAGTATTTGTATGCATTTATAAGGGAAAAAACAGGGTGTTCCACTTTACAGCGATTTCCGCTTTACGGCAGTAGCCTGGAACCTAACTTGCCGTATAAGTGGGGCCTTACTGTACTCAGATCACAACATAATCGAGGTTCAGACATGTATGCGCAGAGCCCCAGACTGACAAAATGTGATCAGTCACGAGGGAGCCTTCACCAAATTCAATTTCAATAACAAGAACATAAAGTGGGACCAAGTAAACCAAGTCCTAAACGATATAAGCTGGGAAGATAGCCTAAGCAACACAGACTCCAACTTATGCCTAGAACAGATTAACTCTGTGGCACTCAATGTATGCTCAAGGCTTATTCCTTTAAGAAAAAGGAGGAGTAGATGTAAAATAGAAAGAGACAGGCGCTCCCTTTACAGGCGAAGGAAAAGAATAACAAAGCGGCTAAAAGAGGCCAATATATCTGCAATGCATAGGGAGACACTGGTCAGAGAAATAGCAAACATCAAACTAAAGCTAAAAGAATCTTATAGGAGTCAGGAATCGCGAGAAGAACTAAAACCCATAAATGAAATCGAAAGAAACCCAAAGTATGTATTTCTTTTCTTATGCTAAATCAAAGTCAAGAACAACATCCAATATTGAGCTCCTACTTAAACAAGATGGGTCCTACACAGATGACAGCAAGGAAATGAATGAGCTACTCAAGTCCAAGTATGACTCAGTTTTTAGCAAGCCGCTAACCAGACTGTGAATCGAAGATCTAAATGAATTTTTTATGAAAAAGCCACAGAATTTGGTAAACACAAGCCTATCTGATGTTATCCTGATGCCAAATGACTTCGAACAGGCGATAAATGACATGCCCATGCACTCTGCCCCAG